TTTTTTTATAATTTTGGTTTAATAGAAGTTCATGTAAGGCAATTAAGATGGATGCAGAGAAACTTATCTACCCCATTCTTCCACTGTGCTTGGAGTAACAAACCTTTCCCAGATCTGCCAATATAAATAAATCCCAAAATATTGGTTTCTTCCAAGTATTCCTTTTGAAACTTGCTTAAGTATCTAATAATTTCATTAGATATTTGGGTTTGCATTTCTCAAACAGGCAGGGTTTTGGCTTGGATATGAGTGATGCTATCATGCTTTTGAAAAACTATTTAGTCTTATGATTAGTCACCACCACATGAATGCTACAAATCTCCCTTGAGAAAATTCTACATTGAGAAAGGCTACCAAAACTAGAAGGAAACAGATCAAGTTAGCATGTGTCTCCTTCATGTTGAGATGGCTAACTTTAACAGACAACATCTGCCAAATCTCCTGTCCTTCCACCTTACTCCAACTCAAATAACAGTGACAACCCAGGGTGGGAGTAAATAGAGAATGGGAAGTATCCCAGAAGAATCTATACCTTTTCCCCTCCCAGAAGAATCTATACCTTCTCCCTGCTTCAAACCCCTGCATTCAGAATCGGTACCTTCACACTTTATATTAGAAGAGTTTTATGAAAGGAAATCTTCTGAATCCCTGCTGGTCTAGAACTTTCTTTATTTTGTCCTTACATGTAAATGTTAGTTTTGTGGCTTAAATGACTGTAGTTTCCACTGGGGAAAGTAAAAGAATATTCAATTGTTTTCTAGCAAGGGATGACAGACGTATGATGAAATGTATGACTCTTGCTTTTGTAGATAACACATTTTCCAGACTATGCAGCTTTTGTTTGTTAGTTAGCTTGTCTGTTCAGCTTGGAGCTCTAAAGAGTTACAAGTATATATATTTAAATGACTCCATTTTTTTCCTTCAATGATCCAATTTTTTGTGAAATACCCTTTCAATCTTGGGACCATGATTGAATCTCAAATACATTTTGTTTAGCCAAAAAAGTCAAGCAGAAAAGTGCATATACCATGTGATTTCTTTTTTGTTGTTTTAGAATAAGAATTAAGCTATTATGATTTATGTTAGAATACTGTTTGTCTCTCATAGGATGGTTTGACTAAAAACAGACAAGAGTTGAATTTCCAGGAGATGGAAGCATTGTAAAGACAAATACAAACTGAAAATGTTGTTATTGTTATTGTTGTTGTTAGATGCCATCCAGTAGGTTCCTATGTACAGCAGAACGAAACACTGCTCAGTCCTGTGCCATCCTCACAATAGTTGCTATGTTTGAACCCATTGTTGCAGAAACTGTGTCAATCCATCTTATTGATGGTCTTCCTCTTTTCAGCTGACCCTCTACTTTACCAAGCATGATGTCCTTCTCTAGGGACTGATCCCTCCTAATAACATGTCCAAAGTATGTGAGATGAAGTCTCCCCATCCTCGCTTCTAAGGAGCATCCTGGCAGTACTTCTTCCAAGACAGATTTGTTTGTTCTTACAGCAGTCCACGGTATGTTCAATATTCTTTGCCAACACCATAATTCAAAGGCAGCAATTTTTCTTTGGTCTTCCTTATTCATCATCCGGCTTTCGTATGCATATGAGGTGACTGAAAACACTGCAGGTTGGGTCAGGTGCACCTTAATCCTCAAAATGAAAACAAGAGGTTTTAACTTTCCCTGTTGAAAATAAGGGAAGAGGCCCCTCTCCTGCCCTGTTCTTTCAGAATTCACTTTAGATAACTTGTCATTGTAAATTCTTTCTCTGTCTCTTTGAAAAGTGTGTAAATCAAGGATGTTTCCTCAAAGACTTGGGAACCATCTCCTTTGAAATGTAATCAAGGAAGATCACAGTCCACCTCCCAATTTTCTGGAAGGAAATCTGTGTAACTATAAGTGTCCTGCTATAAACATATTAGAAAATTAGCAATTTTATCTTGAACGCATGAATGTAATGGGTTGTATTCTCTTAGCTATATAAAGGGTCAGATTCCTTTCTGTCTTTACAATGTCTTCAGGGTATTGTATCAGTCTCATTTAATGCTTATTCAAATGATAAAACTTTTCTTTCTCTTTCTTTTCTTTTGTGGAGAGGTTTTCTGCATTGGGAGTAGATTTTGTTTTTAGTAACTTTTCCGTGATAGCATTTGTAAGCATTTGTGAAGTCTCATTGAAATGTGCATTTCGAAATGGTGCATCTTATTACATGCAAATTATAGATCATAATTTTGATATCTAGAAAAGGTGCATGCACCTCACTATGTCTAGAGAATATTTATTTAGGATCCATTTGGTCAAACTGCTAGTAGCTCACATACTAATATTACGTAATTTCTATTTGTGTCCCTGATTACTTTTAAACCTTATGTGCCATGAGGAAGCATGAATTAAACTTGGAAAGAATGTGAAATGGAAAGAAATCACCCTTTCAGCACATCCTATGTGCTGGCATGGTGCAATTGTTTTATTATTTCTATTCCACTATTGAAAGTCCTAGAGTTCTTGGAAATACAGAACCAATGTTGTTGGAGCACAGAGCCTTCCATTTCTGACTTCTGCTTTTTTCTTGCACAGCTATGCAAGTGTCCTCAATTGTCAATTATGATGTAATAGGAGGAAGCTTGCTTCTCTTGGTTTTATTCTCTATTTCAGCTAACCTTGTGGGTTGAACATTGGGATGACTGACAAATCCAAATGTCATACAGGAAGATGATTCTCTCCCCCTGTGGATCCAGCCCATTGAAGGTGAGAGAAGGGAGCTACACCCAACACTATCGTTCTATGATCCAGCCCAGTCCAAAGTCCTCTGGGTGACTTTATTAGTTCCACTTTCAGAGAACCTGAAAGAGCTGGAGGCAGGCTTTGACTTTCTAGTTAGACTCATTCTAGCAGAAACATTCAAAAGCCAGTGCTTCTTGACAGCCCTGTTTGTCTCCCACGCCAAGAATATTTTCTCAGTCCAGAGATGAGTTAGAAACCTCCCAATCCAGTCCCTGTAGCCACATCTTGGATGCTGACCACAAGAACACTTGGTATAAATTGTCTCTGGAGCTGAGCCTTGTAGGTGCACTGAGGAGACCAGGAGCTTCCAGGAACCCCTCGGCTTACTTCATATGGTAAGAGAGAAATGTGTGGTGGCGTGCAGGTGTGTCTGTGGGAGGTGCGGATACTGAAAACAGAAGGGCTTAAACTCTGGTCCATGTGGTGAGAAAGCTCTTTTCCCTTATGGGAGTTAAGCCACAAGGGCTGATTGTGGTAAAAAAATGAATAAAAAAATGAAAGAAGGAGGGAGATAGGCTGAGAGGAGTGGGCTAGTTTTATAGTTTTGTGTCTGATTTTATTTCTCAACATTGAACTTGAGGTTTTCAATTTCGAGAAAGCCCTGGTGAGAGGGTGAATCCACAAATAATCAAGAGAGTCCACAGAACACAACAGAACAATCTGCAGTTTATAGTTCTCCACACCTGCTGGGGAAACAGTTGGTTTTCACAAGGAAGTCAGAGAAAGAAAACAATGATACACAGGAGGTGGGAGTGGGGCACTAGAATAAAAAAACATTGTTGGGCTGTTTGCCTTGACATGTGTGAAGGAGAAACAGACCAAAAAAAAAAAAAAAAAAAATGTTTAGAGGTAAGTCTTTGAACAGAGTATTTTTTTCTAAGAAGTTACACTGGGCCTCCTTACTCACCACTGTCTCCTTCAGAGTATCTCGTTGTCAGAGTGAACATCTCCATGTTTTCTGCATACTCCACTTTCTGCTCTGAAGAAGATGGTGGATTTCTCTCCAGCTTGTTTCCTCATCCATTTCCTTCTTCTCCTGGTGTCCACATGGTGCGCAGCAGGTCAGTACTCTGTCTCAATTTATTTTATTTTTTTTTTAGTTATTTTTGTTCTTTTTCAATTTTTCCTCTCATGTAAATGACACAACCTGCCCCCTCTCAAAGACAGTTATTTTCTGAGGAAAATGAGGTTGTGTCATCTGCTAACAGGAGGTCCAAAGGGTCAGAGCAGGACTGGAGGTGTTCTTCTTCATATCAACACCCCTTGCTCCTTTGAGTGGCCCTCATAATTCTCACGGCAGTAATATTTATCTAAATTGTTATTGAGTATACGCAATTTTAGCCTGTTCACTCTTAAAGTAATTGAAAAAATATACCTGGTAATGTTCACACTATCACAAAAACCTATGTTTGAGTACAAAGACTTTGCAGTCAGGCTTCCTGAGCTCTATCTGGTTGTGATATTAGACAAATAACTTGTTCTCTCTGGGGCATGTTGTTGTTATTAGCTGCTATTGAGTCTGTCCTAACCCATGGCAACCCCATGCACAATGAAATGAAACACTTCCTGGTTTTGTACCATGCCCATGATTGATTACAGACTGGACAATATCCTGTTGTGATCCATAGGGGTTTCATTGGCTGACTTTTGGAAGTAGATCACCATGCCTTTCTTCTTTGTCTGCCTTACTGTGGAAGCACCACTGAAACCTGTTCAGCATCATGGGATCACCATGAGTCAGAGTTGATGCAACATCAGCTGGTTTTGCTTGGACACGAGTCCTTCTTCTATAAAATTAAAAAACCCTTCAGGATGGATTTTCAGACCCCAGATTTGGAGAACTAGCTATGAGATCACAGTGATGACATTTTGCTGTTGTCTCTTTAATTTGATGTCAATTAGGCAGTGACCATCAAAAATTTTAAATGCCCAAATACTCAGCAATTCTACTAGAGGAATGTCTCCCACAGAAATGCTCTCACATGTGCATACATATATTTTTATAAGAATGTTCATTGCATGACTGTAATGATACTAAGCTAGAAGCATTATAATTATGCATCAATAAAAATAATGATTAATCAGGTAAAGCTGACTATATGTAGTTAAATGATTGGCTACTCTTGTTGCAGAAACAGATATACAACAGTCCCACTTCTGTGAAATAAGATTATTTTTCCTGCTACATTGTCACTATAAGTAATGTTTCATACCTTTTTCTAAATCAAATTGCTCACACGACGTGCATAACCAACAGTATGGTGTCAGTCAGCTAAGGGCCTACATCACGTGAGTTACACCAGTAACTTGAGTTTTACACAAGAATGGAGAAAAAGGGAGGGCCATGGCCTCAGTCCAACAAAGATGGCCGCTGTCATGCTCTCTATCCAGACCATTTGATCAACCCTCTCTGGGACTGCTGGACACTGGCAACTTTCTCTAAGCTCCCATGCCCTTGCCTCCTGGGCATCCATAAGGACGTCCCTTTCTGAAGTTTTCTCATCTTGGAGTCACTGCATTTGCAGGCCTTTGCATCCTGACTGGTCACAGAACCTATAATATCCTGAGTCTCAAGTTTTCTCAAGGGCACCAGTCATCTTTTAGTTATCATGGGTTTCTGTAGTAAAAATAATTTTCAAGCAGATGGCTATGAAGTAACTAAAGGAAGGTGCATCTTCTCTAATTCAGACGATGTTCCCATTTAGGCCTGCAACATCCTCCTCCCCTCCCCTAAGCAATCCACCTACTCTCTCAGATCAAGGCTACCCTGCATCTCAACAATGGAGTCACAAGCCTCCAAGTCCTACTCACTCTCAGGAAAATAATTTTTGTAAAATTGTTTTTTCTATGATTCTAAGACTTCATATTTATTTAAAAATAAAAGCCTTTCTTACCTTATAAATTCTACTTTTCACCCTGGAATAAAACACTAGTAATCCTCTCACCCTCTAACAGGAGGTAACTTAAATCTCAAGGTCGGAAAGGTCCACCTACTCACATAGGATCAGGGTCCAAACCCATTGCCTTCAAGTCAATTCTGACTCATAGTGACCCTATAGGACAGAGTAGAACTGCCCCATAGAGTTTCCAAGGAGCAGCTGGTGGACTTGAACTGCTGACCTATAGGTTAGCAGCTGAGCTCTTGACCACTGCACCACCAGGGCTCCCGGAGCAGGGAGCTGCGATACAAAGAAATGAGAGAGGAGAGAGGTACTTTCCATTCACCAAAAAATAATAATAGTAATAATAATTGCTTAATAAGTTACCTTAACCCATTTAATTCGTAATAAATCTCTTACAGGTTTTACATAACTTATATATGAATACTATTTGTAAATGTATAAAAAATGCATTTCAAATGTGAAACTATCAACAGTTGTTACTTCTGGAGAAGATAATGTAATCTGTTGGTAACGGTAAAGGGAATATAGTTGAAGAAGTTTGATTCTGCTTCTATATATATTCTTTTAAATTTTAAAACATACCTTACTTCTTTGGAAAATAATACAAGTATGAAATATGTTTGAATCTCTAAATAAAGTAATGCAGTTGGTTTTCCATCTCATTGCCTAGTACTTATTCTCCTAATCTGTCTCTGATCTCCATGCAGCGTCCGAGTTTACTGTGAAGGGACCTGCTGAGCCTGTTGTAGCCCTGCTCGGAGCAGATGCCACTCTGCCCTGCCAGCTCTCCCCTGAGCAGAGTGCAGCTCACATGCACATCCGGTGGTACCGAGCCCAACTCTCCCCTGCTGTGCTTGTGTACCAAAATGGACAGGAACAAGGTGGGGAGCAGATGCTGGAGTACCGCGGCAGGACAGAGTTGGCGCAAGACGCCATAGGCAAGGGGAGTGTGGCGCTACTGATACAGCACGTCCGGGCCTCTGATAACGGCCAGTACAGGTGTCGTTTTAAGAATGGTGACATCTCCCAAGAGGCCATTGTGGAGCTAAATGTTATAGGTATGTTACCTTGGCACAGAGTCTATATGCTGTGGTGTAAAGCAGAGAGAAAAGCGAGGATAACTGGATTCTTAACCTGGCATTTCTTTTGATCTTCCATGAGTTGATATGCTACTTGACCTTGTAGAATGTCAATTTTCTAAACTCTACAGTGAGGATAAGACTACATATTCTATTTTCTTAAATAACAAGGCAGGCAGTATTAAAAAAAGTATTTTGATATCCTAAAATTAATTCACTAGTATTAGTTCCGGTAAGTACTGACATCTTCAATCATTACTTTTTACTCAATCAGGAGAGAAAAACAACCAATAGAATTAAACTCTTTTTCTAGTTTTAGTTATACTATTTCTTCCTCTCTTTCTGGAATGACCTCAAAGTTATCTCAGTCCAGGTACAGTGCAAAGGCTTTAAGCTGAATTCAGAATTGAATCACAGGTCAACCTAAAGCTGGTCATAAACAGCTGCTTGACCTGTGAGCTTCAGTTTACCCATCAGTCTACTGAAGGTAAGTTTGGCCTTCAGCCTCAGGCTCTCCTGATCCCCAAGGATCACAAGCCTCAAGTAAATGCTTTCTCTCCTCAGGCTTGGGCTCTGCCCCTCAAGTACACATGACGGGGCCTGAGGATGGTGGGATCCGAGTGCTGTGTTCCTCCGGCGGCTGGTTCCCAAAACCCAAGGTGCAGTGGGGAGACATGGCAGGAGTGAAGCTACCATCCTTTTCTGAGTCCCAGACTCAAGATGGAGATGGACTCTTCCATGTGGAGGCATCTCTTGTGGTCACGGACAGCAGCCTGGGCAATGTGACCTGCTCGGTACAGAATCCTGTCTCTGGCCAAGAGAAAGTGTCAGCCATCTTCCTCCCAGGTCAGTGAGGCTCAAACCCCAACACAGAGTTGAGGGGTAGAAATGAGGGCAGAAAAGGAAGAAAGACTAAAGGGGGCAACTGAGAGAGCACAGGGTTTCCTCCAGGTCAATTTATGACTGTGACTTCATGTGCCCGTGTCAGAACCCTTCTTCCCCAGGATGTCTCCATGGAAGGCAGCCCTGTCTGGGACACTCCCTGTGCTAGGGCTTCTCCTCATTGGGATCAGCTACATTGGGTGGACAGAACATAAAGCCAAACAGAGAGAAATAGAGAAAACGGAAGAAGAAGCTCATAAAAGAGATGAGACGAAAAAAAAGAAGAAAACTGCACTTGAGGCCAAAGGTAAATTGGAGCAACAGAGAAAATCAGAGGTTCATGAAAAAGCAGGGTATATGGGCTGTGTTGGGTGGACAGGGAAACCAAAGACTGCCCGGGCCCAAAGGAAAACACAGGGTACCAAGCATTCTGCAGTGCTGGAAGTCCGATGCAGAGAAGAACCATGAGGAATGCTAGATTAGTGGGCAGTGTCCATGAGGTCTCTAAAGTGTGGCTCCTCAAACACATACCATGCTCTTTCATGCCTCTGTGCCCAAACCTGTGCTGTTGTTTTGCCTTGTGGAAATGACTTTCTCTAACTTGTCTCTATTCATCCTTCAAGAATAAGCTTTAGACACACCTAAGAAATCTCACACTTCCCTAAAGTGTGAGCACTTCTTCCTCTGTGACTATCTTGCACTTCCAATGTAGCTTTACTTAGTACTTATCATTTTATATTTGATATAAATATTATCTAATCTTTCTTACCTACTTAACTATGAGATCTTCAAGGGAAGGTCAAATTGAATTCACT